AACCTTTTTACAGGCCCAAGCATTTGTTTAACAATTAAAAGTACTGTATAAACGTTTTATTTTTTATTTTTTCTAAATAACTACTGTACTGTAAAGTAATAATTTTAATCATCAATACAAACTGAAGGCTTCCTTATCATTATTAGAACTAATTTCTGCCGTCGTCCTGTTATTTTCCTCCTTCTTTATGGAACGAACAGGAGATTCATTAATTCCGTAATGGCGACATAAAGCCGCAGAGCTTCTTGCTTCCTTTAGCATGTCCAGAGGTTTGATAGTTAGCGATAGTTAGCGATAGTTAGCGATAGTTAGCGACAGTTAGCTTCTTCATTTGCCTTTTGGGCCGACCACAAGTGCCTTTGTCAACATTACAGGTTTTAGTGAAACTTTAAATTGCAAGAGAATTGGCAAACTTAAATGTAGCAAGCAGGTAGAGAAGAAGCTGTTTAGCCAATCAGAATGCAGAACACAACGCACGATGCAAATCCGTGAAAGGTGAACCGCGATATAGCGAGGGTTCACTGTATATTAAACACTTATCTCAGTTGGGTCGTTTTTAGCCCGTTCTCCTCACATTAAAGTCCGGATTTAAGTCAGTTTTTAGTTATTTTTATATAGTTTTTATACATTTTTTTCTTTTTCTTTTTCAGTTTAAAAAAAAAATCTAATTTACATTACGTGAACTTAACCCTGTAATGCCAAATGTATCATATCTGACATCTTTTGCATAATTTAATATTAAAAACTTTGTTAAAATCCTATTGTACACAATCAGATACACCTGGTAACAGGGGGCAGAAGACTACACCAAAAATAATCTTGACTTATCGCATAGTAATAAAGTATTAATATTAAAAATGTATTTCTGTAAAAATGTAAACTTTTTTTTCTTTTTACATAATTTGTTAAAAGTACAAATAAGGAATTCAAACCAAAAAAAAGTAATTTTCTGTTTAGTTTTATTCTTGGATCGGGCTTTAAAGGGTTAAACTAATTTATCTTATTTATTTTTATTTAATTTGGATATTTTATATATTGTTTGCTAAGACTTTGACGTCATAAATTCTATTTTGGAAATTTAATCCGGGTGTCGAGTCGAATACTTGATCGAATTTCACTTTGGATGTTGGAAAATTCGTATGTTTCCTCTCATATAATAAAAATCCTCCTTTTTTCTTGATGAAATATTCAGGTTTTGGGGCTCATTGACATTTTAGATTAGCGTTTTTAGATCAAATCTGACAAACTGTGAGGAGGGACGTCCCTCGAACCTCAGCTTGAGTATTTCTCCTCTTATCTGGTGATCGGATCATGCTTTTTTACCCTGAAAGTCTAAAATCGGGAGTCAGAGGCTGATTTTCTCTGTATTTTCTGTTGGCAGCTTTCGCCCTGGAGAGTTCGGCCCTCAGCTTCCCGGACTTGTGTCGCCTGGTGGCTTTCTACTGCGTCAGCAGGTGAGATTTTACCTCCCTCGAAAGTATACTCAAAAAAAGTACTGATACTAAAACGTTGTATCCGGATACGATAGTCATTTTCAAAAGTATCGATTTATTTATTTATTTACGTTGTTTATGGTCATTAACGTGACGTTAGCCTTGAGTTGCTAGCTGCGGCTAACGGCTAATAACAACACGCCAACATTAATCAAGTCTGCAGGAAGCCAAGGATGGATATCCAACCCCCCCACATCCAAATCGGCCATTTTGATTAGGTCACCAATAGGAAGATCCCAGGCAAGAAAATCCTAATTGCTTCATGGCAATATAGACATTAATTTAAAAATAGTGAAATGAATCTTGCAAACACTGAATTAAACTCTATCCATAATATTACTATTTACTATTAAAATAGTGGATGTTAATGATTTATTTTTCACAATTATGAAGGCTGGAGGGTTAAGGTTAGGGTCAGGGTCAGGGTTAGGGTTAGGGTTAGGGTCAGGTTTAGGGTCAGGGTTAGGGTCAGGGTTAGGGTTAGGGTTAGGGTCAGGTTTAGGGTCAGGGTTAGGGTCAGGGTTAGGGTTAGGGTTAGGGTCAGGTTTAGGGTCAGGGTTAGGGTCAGGGTTAGGGTTAGGGTTAGGGTCAGGTTTAGGGTCAGGGT